ATCTATCTGAGTGGTTGCTGTAGCTACAGCATAACCCTGAGAGTTGGCAGAAGGGAATCGTGTATTCTACCACGTTCCCTGGGCCATATGAAAAATTTCATGAACATTTGTAGACCCTAAAATTGGTGTTAGCTGGAAAGATCTATGAATGTGTACACAGAAATTTCTTTCCGAATCCCAGAGATTATCAACCTTAAATTTTAGGATTTACCTTGTTTAAGTGCATTAATGTACCCTCAGATATCTTGTCATCCAAATGAATGTTTAATTCTTACTTGAATCCTTACTTGAATTCCTATAAAAAGGAAGCTATGTCACATATGAGAAGGTAATCCATAAAATAAACCTCATTAGTATTTCAGAAGTGCAGATTTAAGGTCATTTATTTATATAGCTGCTGGCTGTTGTAAACCATACATGACACTCGGAGAAGTTTGTTTATGGGGTCGTTTACTGGAAAATCAACAAGGTCAGAGCTGCTGTAGTGCTAATATTTGGAATGAGTCAGGTTTGACATTTCAAGTTGAAAAAGAGCTCAGAATTTAGAACCAAGTTAAGAATACACTGGATGGATGACTTTGGGAAGCACAAATTAGATTTCTAAATTGACGTGCAGTGCTAAAACTAGGAACAGCTTGCCTGGATTCAGAAAAATGACTAATACAGAAAAAACCTGAACTTATTTGGGAGGAAGGAATCAGTGTAGTGAATGTGTGCTAAACCGTGTAAGCATCCTGTGCAGAGAACAAGGAAAGGAACAGGTATTGGGTGGTTGGCAATAAATATAGAATCATAGAATCATAGAATTGCCCAGGCCGGAAGGGACCTCCAAAGGTCATCTAGTCCGACCTCCCCGCAGTCAGCAGGGACACCCCCAACTAGACCAGGTTGCCCAGGGCCTCATCGAGCCTCTCCTTGAATATCTCCAGGGAAGGGGCCTCAACCACCTCCCTGGGCAACCTGTTCCAGTGCTCCACCACCCTCACAGTGAAGAACCCTCTCCTAATCTCCAGTCTAAATCTGTTCCCCTCCAGCTTGAAGCCATTGCCCCTCGTCCTGTCACTGCAGGCCTTTCTAAGCAGGTTCTCCCCAGCCTTCCTGTAGGCTCCCTTCAGGTACTGGAAGGCCGCTATTAGGTCTCCCCAGAGCCTCCTCTTCTCCAGGCTGAAAAACCCCTTTTACTAGTAATTACTAGTACAAAACTGCTATGGAAATCAATCAGCTAAGAAATTAATCAGGATCTGAGAGGTGAAACAAGAGAAATATTTTTAGATATTACCCCTCCCAAACTCCGTTCCTGCTGTTGGATGGGTTGTTGCATCACAGGCAGAGTACAATTGCCATGGAGATGATTACAAGAACTTTTCGCGTAATTTAGATTTTGCTGGGTTAACATTTCTTTTCTATGTTTTCATAAAAAGAAAGGATTATCTAGATGCTAGTTATGAATCATGTATTCCTATTAAATATCTTTATAGGGTGATTTTTCTATCGTTTCTGCTACCCTTTGTATTGTGAACCAGGACTAAGGGCCTTCCCTGTGGTTACAGAGGGAAGCTTTAGTAGAATGAGGACTTGATCACTACCTGTTGGAGCTTAGGCCCATGCCTGTAGGGCGATCGTTCTTGCCTTGCTCCTTCTTGTAGCAGTTATGTACACTGCACTTTTATTGAAGGACTGTGAAAATTATTTATATACTTGTTCTTTAGAGTACTGCAAACCTGTTCTTTGTATTGTTAGTCTTCAGGTGAAAATTGTTCTTTTCCTTACGCTTTACATGCTGTAATTATATGTCAAAAGGTTTTCTCACCCTTGGGGAAGGATGGCCTCTGCTTTTAACAGCTGTTAAAATATCTATGAGCCACGAATTTTAATATATATCATTCTTTAAGAAATCTGTACAGCGATCTAAAATCACATGACCCTGTTAGACAGAATAAGGTAAAAGATACTCCTTATATCCTCATTTTTTTTCATCGCAAATTATATTTCTATACCTAAACTTGTGTAGCTCTGTCCAAAAATTTATGTTGTCGGGTTTTCAAATTCTCCATTGCAATCCTTCACTGTCAGTTTTGCAACATTCCAAAACCTTTTTGTCCCAAAGAAGCCAAGAAGTACACAAGTAATTCTGTTACATTAAATGTCATTTGTTGGCTGCTTGCAGCTTGGGTATGCAGTGGAAGGGGTAATGGCTGTCCCTGTACCAGAGGAAGTACAGAAATTTTTCCCTTCTAGAATACACTAGGCAAGTAAATTATGGTAAAGGGCAAGAAGGGAGATGGGCCTGCCTTTTCTTTACCCTGTAGAGCTGAGTATTGCCAGTGGTGCTTGAGAGAAGGGGAAGGAATTGCACTGGGAGGCAGAATCTCTCCTGTGAGAGATAGTGAGATTGGGTTAATGGAAGATTTTCCTTCCATTTCTGAAGCATCAATAGGCTGATTATTGAGATGAGCAGTGCTTGTGCTGAAGGGTGAAGGGTGAAGCTTTAGCTGAGCTGCCAGTACAGAAAAATACAGAACCTGTATTTATTGCCAAATTCCAGAAGGATTCTATCAAAGTACGTCACAGAAGCATAGCGATGAATGCCCGTTGTGCTCAATGGTATATCCCACTCTGGTCACTTCTGAGGGTAGAGCTCTAGGCCTAGTATAGCAAAAGTTTTGTAGCATAGCAAAAGGTTTGTCTTTAGCAGCGTTTTGCATCGTTCTGACCCTTGCACCTGTGTATCCACTTAAGAGTATTTTTGTTCAGCTAAGAACTTGAACAGTGCTCCCTGCTATTCTTGGAGTAGAGGGTTTCTTCATCCAGGTCACTGTCAAAGACAGGAAATATAACAAGGAAAAATTGTTGCCAGCAGCAAAGATCTAGGTGCAGCGGATGAAGACAGGTTTCTGGAAGTGAGGATCTCCTTTCCTATACAGTTCTCCTGCTTGCTACCCCCAGCTTCCCTACCAGCCAAAAGAAGAACACGTATTGCTGGATCAGCAGATTCAGAGGCTCCGCTCAGAGCTGGAGAATTAAGCTTGCTGGCTCACTTTCTCTTTGTGTTCTTGCACAAAAGAGCAAGTGTTGAGCACTGTATATCAGAGATGCTTCCCTTGTGCTGGATTCTGCTTTTGCCTGGAGTTTGGAAATCTGCAATAATTCTACTGAGATTTATTGAGTTTGGTAAAAAAAAAAAGCCTACTCCTTGGTGTTTCATTGTTCTAGAGGAAAGAAGGGAGTTACTGTGACTCACAGTAAAAATCTTAGTGTTTCAGTTCTTACCTTTATGAATCATGTTAAAACTGGGTTTTTTGTTTTTTTTTTTTTTTTTTTTTTTTTTTGTGTGAGCATTAGGCTGAATTCTCCTTATCGTTATCATAATTTTGATAACCTTGAATTCAAGGTTGAGTTACATTTCATATGTATACTGATCATTTATTAATTATAGATGAAGGAATTGTACTTCAGTGTGCTGAAAATTTGCTTGCATCAAAGTAGAGGGAGGATACTTGTTAGTTCAGGTATTGAAATTTCTGTTTCATCTAAAAATTCCACTAGGATCTGAAGCCAGTCTAAAGTAAATTTCTGTTTCATCTAAAAATTCCAGGAGGATCTGAAGCCAGTCTAAAGTAAGAGATGATGACTATTTCTGTGATAAACTGAATTTTGCTTTTTACATGCCACCACAGTTGTTTTTGTTATTTGTGCCACATTATTTGTAAGAAGCACTTTCCTCCTCTGTGTGTCACAATTTAGCCCAAAGTCATCTGTGTACAAATAACTAAGGTCATTGCATTCTTCCTGATGACAACAAACTGTGCTTATGAGCCATCACCCTTTTTTTATTATTTTTTTTTTTTTTGTAACCCATGCTGTGTGTAGAGCAGTTCAGAGCTACTGTGGTATATGAAAAGGTTTATAATTTCCTGTTGGTGAAAGGTTTAAAAAACCTAGGCAATGAATCAGATTTGATGACATTATTTCATTTATTTGTGTAGTATTAGGACTTCAGTTTGCTGGTCTTCATTCCCATTTTATCAAAGTGTGCTGTACCTCTCAATGAGCTTTACTGCTTTTCATATAGAAGCGTGAAAGAGCCTTGCCTCTAAGTCCCACAGTGAATCAAAGTTGGTTTACAGTGGTCTGTATTTGACCTTTCTGCTCTACTCTTTTTGACCACACCTCTGCTACCTGCCATAAAGCTTCAGTATCATAGGTTTAGATAGATACGTGCTTAAGGCTTGGCTTAGGCTATTAAGTATCAATACCATAATTCGCATGAGTAAATTGAAGGTCATGTTTTGCTGTATACATCTCAGAGGGGATATTTCACATTCAAAATCCATTTTTTTTTATTTGTGATTTTTTTTTATGTTTTGCCAACTGTAATTTGAGTGATCTGTAGACATCAGAACTTTATTCATTTTGTTGTAATGAATGTGAAACAGGCCATACTTAATGTTAAAATACCTGTGGTGACACTTTATTCAAGCATGAGGGACAAAGCTAAAGCCAGACTTGTTAAGTACCTCCTGGCAAACCAATCCTCTGATGTGAACAGGAGCTCTGTTGTGATTTCTGACCCCCTCCCCTGCGCCCCTGTCCAAAATTTAGAGCTCAACTGTGTGAAGTGCTGAGTGTCAGTGAAAGCCACATGGGAACCAAAATGTTCAGGCCTTCACTTTGGTCCAAATGTTGTGCATTATGCAATCTGTTGTTCTTGAACTAATAGATTTCTTTTTCTTTTCCCTTATTCTGAAAACTAGGTTGTGTTATGTTGATTCCAAGTCCTGGTTATGAAGGTTTATTCTCTTTTAATACAAATAAAGTAAAGCAAAGGCATATTTCCTTCATAAGAAGATTAACATACAAACTTGGTTCACTTACGTTGTCTTTTGTGCTGGTTTGGTCTTGTTTCCTCAAGATGAGATAGCCATCACTATAATACTAGTATATTTTACTTGCTGTAATCTGATGTGCCATTTCTCTCCCCTCTTTTCTCCTTCCCTAAGATTATCGTTGGAGAAACTGCAGTGTTTTGTCTACAGTTAGCTACAAAGGATTTTGAAAACCAAGAAAAAACAATATTAACTGGAGACTGTTGTTATATAAATCCACTGGTGCGCAGGACCATCAGATTCCTTGGTATGAGCAAAATTAATGCTTTCCTTTTCTGAATGGTGAGAATGATCAATTATGTGTTGATTTTGACCTGGGGAAAATATTCAGATGACCATACAACATTTCATGTGTAGTCTTAACTCAGGTGTAGTGAGTTCTCTCCTTTTGAGTAGCAAATGAAGCTTCTTGGATGTTTGGATAAAAAAATAGTTGCAGGAACAACAGTAAAATAGAAAAAAACTGGGACCATGAGGGGGAAAAACAACCAGCAGGCCCGGAGTAGGGTGAAGTGGAGAAGGGAGATACTCTTGTGCCATATCTATAGCTGATGGTGTTCTTTAGGTTACACACACATAGCGGCCAAAGTTGAAGACATTGGGATATAAATGTGTGTTTGAAGCCAAGCCCAATTTAGGTACTTTCTTAGCCTGGAGATTGTGTTATAGTCTCTAGCAGAAAACTGCAACATCCATGCTCCACTGAAATCAGATGTAGCTCCCCCATTGACTTTCGTAGATATGAGACGTCATCCTTTCTACATAATTTATTGTAAATGTGTTTGGAGGGAGCAGTACCACCACTCAAAATGTCTATTGAATATTCACAGATGCTGCTTTTTAATATGTGCAGGGATGCCATAGCAGGGCTCAGTTCTGTTGTTTGCTTCTCACTCACGGGTGTATCTAAGAGAAACAGCTGGAGGAATGAAGCCTTGGGACAGCTAATCCTCCTGTGTGCCCCAGTCGCAGGGGGAGGGAGGGGATGTGCAGCTGTGTCTGGATTTGCAGTGTTTGTGTAACAGCCATGCCTGCCTTCAGAGAGAGCAATTGCTTGCTGTCACGTTGGAGTGCTAAAAGTCATTAAGAATGAGATTGTACTGCATAGGTCCAGAGTAGGTGCGGAGTGATGATGAGGAGCTCCTCTATGTGTAACCAGTGCTCACTTTTCCTTCCCGCTTGGCGGGCCCTCCTTGCTCACAGAAGCAAAAAAAAAAAAGGGAAGGGCTCTACGGGGTTCCACCAGGCATCACTACCCGTTACGCACACACAAAGTGATGTGGGCACCTTTGTTGGGGCAGCACACACCCTTGGGGCTTGCTGAAAGGGCCCTTCTGTGCAGCCACTCGACTGGGCACAGTCCACTGCTCACCAGTGTCTAGCAGCTCAGGGTGAATTAATGTTAGTGTGACATTGCTGACCAGCCAGGATCCCAGAAATCATCCTCGGTCCTCTAGCTTTGCTGAGGAAAAAACCCTGACCTTTAGAAATGCACGTGTTTCTGTGGCATTGTGTCTGCTGTGATGTACATCCATTAAAGTCCTCATGGTGCCCCATGAAGTTGGGAACTGCCAGAACTCACGCTATATTCACAGTGAGTTGAAGTATGGGGAAGGTAAGGTGGTTTGCCTGTGGAAATATAGGAGCAAATCTGTAGCTCAGGTGGAATTTGAACATGCACCTGCTGGCTTTGCCTCCCAGTCAGTGCTGTGTTTGCATTTCCTTCCAGAGCTCAGTTTCTGCTTCTAAAAGGATAGAAAAGGACCTCAGAATAGCAGAAATCTGTTTTCTTTTAAGTAATCAGATACATGCATTTCCATTCTAATGAATGAGTACATGTGCTTAATGCTTTGCTGGTACGTCTGATAAAAAAACCTCTTTAGCATAAGTAGCTCCTTAAAAATATATAGATCTTTAGCTCACTGTGTTGATATTGTGATTAACATGCCATGCAGAGAGATGTACCCCGTAGCAGACAGATGAAGACAACTTGTCCATGGCAATATTGAATTATTCAGTACTTCAGTTTCTTTACAGCTGCAAGGGAAAAGAAACATTTGTCCAGTATGTATTACGACTTTTCAAGTTACTTCTCCATCAGGGCCTGCCTTTGTTCTCAAGCAAATTTATAGGGTGAAGAATTTACCTCGTCACTTCTGTTTAGTGAATATGGGCAAAGGTTAGGTACCAGTATAGGTAGTTACCCCAAACAGTGGAAATTGGTGGCTAGAGGGCCTAGGAAAGTGGGCTGTTTGCACAGGAGATGTGTGTGCTGCTCTGAAGGATGGAGAGAGATCGGGTGTGCAGGTACGTTGCAGAGTTGGTGCTGAGGTTGTGTAGGAAAGTACCATCTCCAACGTGAGCCAGTATCTTTAGGTTACAATACGTATGAGAGTTGTTCATGTTCTTAAATGGAAGGAGCTGGTATATTACTATGATAAATACTATGAAATGTTGCCCTGGAGTGAAATTGTTGGGAAATTTAACTCTTTGTTTCCCTCTTTAGGAATTTACGCATTTGGACTGTTTGCTACGGACATCTTTGTAAATGCTGGACAAGTAGTAACAGGGAATCTTGCACCACATTTTCTTGCACTTTGTAAACCCAACTATACAGCACTTGGATGTAAACAGTATACACAATTCATCAGTAGCGTACATGCCTGTACTGGAAATCCAGACCTTATCATGAAAGCCAGAAAGACATTCCCATCCAAAGAAGCAGCACTAAGCGTATATGCAGCTATGTATCTGGCTGTAAGTATATCATACTATTTAATGTCACTATATGTTTGAGAGCAAATGGCTCACATGGTAAGGGGAGGAGGGAGGAATGGGGAGATAAGACAACTATTGGCTGATTTTATATATGTAAGCCTTCTATGAATGACTGTGAGGCCTTTGAGAATTTGATTCATTGGACTTAATTCTGACAATTACAGGTGTAGTGGTTTTCTGAGCGTTGAAAGCTATGGCAGTGCTGAGAAAGGGCAAGTTGTCAAACAGGGTTATAGACACAAGATAATCAAGTTCTTGATTTACTTTTTTTCCCATTTCCAGAGAATGTGGGATGAGGCTTTGTTGGGTGGTAAAGAATAAAGGTAGGGTTTGCCCATGACTGGTAGTTGTTCCTTTCCATGCTTTAACCCAGTACAGATTAGTAGAATTGCACATGGCCATGTTCTTTGGTGAAGTGGAAGAGTGGGCACGGATTCATTGGACTTAATTCTGACAATTACAGATGTAGTGGTTTTCTGAGCGTTGAAAGCTACGGCAGTGCTGAGAAAGGGCAAGTTGTCAACAAGGGTTATAGATACAGGATAATCAAGTTCTTGATTTACTTTTTTTCCCATTTCCAGAGAATGTGGGATGAGGCTTTGTTGGGTGGTAAAGAATAAAGGTAAGGTTTGCCCATGACTGGTAGTTGTTCCTTTCCATGCTTTAATTCAGTACAGATTAGTAGAATTGCACACGGCCATGTTCTTTGGTGGAGTGAAGTGGAAGAGTGGGCACATGTGTTTGATCTCTGCAGGTTTCCCGAGATCTGTGCATGTCTTTAGGTACCAGAATTGGTATTTACAGGTACCTCAGTGGTCATGCAAAGTCAGTTTGTCTCTTAGTCTGCGATGAAATGGACTACAAGACGATCTAGCCCTTCTTCCTTCTCGCCTTTTTGATATAAGGGGTGATGAGGGGATAAAAAATGGCGTTTACTGTCTGGCATCAGAGCAGTTCTAGAGGCTATTGAGATGTGGGGATGCAGGTAAGTGGCAGAGTGGCTAATGAGTCTCGCTCAAGTAACTCTGTGCAGTGCTCCCTGGCTTCATTTGGAGTGCACATCGTTCTAGTCTTAAGCAGAAGCACACATTCTTAGTCAAGTTGTCCCCCGTACATGCCCATGGGAGTCTCTTACCTGACCTGCACTGGTAATCACAGTCCTTTGTAGACCTTTGGCTTGGCCCAGGACTGCCCACGTAGTGTCAGTGGGCAACCAGGCAAGTGTGTGTCTATCTCTGTGGTCATTGCAGGAGTAATCCTGTAAATTCCCCTGGTATTTGAACAGTGGCCTGCCTATACACATGTATATGTATGTATGCGTATATATACACGTATATATACGTGTGTGTGTATTGCTTTTGAGCATGTATTTAATGAGCTGACTTTTAATTCCTGTTTGATCTGGAAACTGATACTTGCCATCATGGCAAAGATCCCAACCCCATCCACAGACAGCATGCCAACTCCATACTTCTGAATATGGTTTTAGAACCAGTGGCTTAAAATCTGGAGCACTGACAGTAACATTTACCAAAAGTTCCTTGTGAGCAGTGTCTGCTTGAGAGATGTGGACCGTCAGTTAGTACAGGCAAGTGTTATCTGCAAATAAGAGATGAGCAATAAAATTCTATTCTAACTTGAGGCAAGTGTAAGACTCCTAATAGTATTGACTTTATTTGGGGAGATATCTAAGGCTTTGCTTCACTGAAACATACCTCTAAATTTGGTGCAAACTATTTTAGAAAATATTCAGCATTCTTCATTTTAATTGCTCCTATTTTTCTCATCCATCTGTAAAGTTGGATTTCCACTGTTGCCATGAGTCACAGTAACTAAAGGAAACCAACTGTTCAGCTACTGCAAACAGGAAGGAAAATAGCATTGATATATTTTAAAAACAAGAAGTAGACATGATAGTAGGTCTAATACCTACTATCAATGCCTTTGACATGAGCAAGAGTACTTTATGCAAATCTTATGTTGTCTGTGGTCGATAAAGAGCAACATCAACAATTAAAGCTGCTGTGTTCTGTTTCATGACTTTATAAGCTTTCAGTAATTGCAGAAATGAATATATCCTATGTCATTACTGTATTGCAGCATGATTCATGACACTGGTTTAACTGAAGCACTAGAAACTACTGACAGCATTTCTCAATTCTTATAGGCTGCCTAATAAAGTGAATTGCTATGATGTATCAGCTGAGTTGTAGCCTGCAAATTTAGGTCCTTGACGAAATCTTTTTTTTTTGTAAATTTTTTAAAATTCTGTTGCATGGTTGCAGCTAAAAATACTGTTTATTGCACAGTGGGGAAAGAAATGCAATGTGCCAATATCTGGGGTCATGTCCTTACACTGTCATTATGTTTATTGGGATAGTTGGTCCTGAATAACAACTTTCTCATCACTATTCACTGGAGTAGAAGATTTAAACAGTAGCCTAGTCTTTGTATAAGCTGTGGTACAATGGTTATTGAGAGCATGGACATAAAGACCTCCATATATTACCTAGATAGTATTTCATGAGCATATGATCTCTGATACAAAATGTGCTTTCTTTTTGGTTAACAGAAATATTTGGGAAAGAGGGAGGGATTGTTACCAATCCTCCCTGGACATTTCAGCCAGCTGTGCACAAAACAAAACCAGCCTAAAGACATAAACAGGCAACAAGCTGATCTAGAGTCCTTGCTCTCTGAGGGGGTGAAGTAAAAAACGTCAGACTTACGTGATTTCATCGATCAACCCATTTAAAAACAAAGCCTATACTTCATCTAATCATTCCCTATCTCGTTCCATTTAAGTGCAGCCATGTCCTTATCACCTAGCATCTGTGCATATTGTCTTGTTAACAATAGCCTCTTTTTTTCATCTGAGTTCTTGAGTCTTCCTTTTTTCCCCCCTCCCCTCTTTTGAGAGTGGGTGGCTGCTATGGTAACTCTGAATTTTCCTCCTGATGAAAGTACAGTCTTTTTCAAACAATTGTATTGCTAATATTTAGACTTCTCTGTAGTGTTTGCCTCTCTTACATTCTCTTGGTACCTATCAAGAAAGACTTAGCAATGGAAATGTTGAGTGGCAGCACTATGGTTAGGCGTTTTCTCTACCCTTCTCCAAACACAGACACTTTCAAGGATCCATTACTTGTCGTCTTCACACTTTTAGGTTTATTTTTCCCAGTGTACCATAGTCTTCAAAATGAACTACTGCAATTCTTTTCCAAAATCTCTAAGCAAGCTGGCTGCTACCTGGATTTCTCCTTAGGTGTCTGCTCAACTGGTCTTAGACCTTTTGTTTGTTTTTGCTTGAGCTGAGTTAGTAAGTTGACTGCATTGGCTTCCACTTCTTACCAGCATTGCAATTCACACTTTCTCAGTTGGAAAAAATATGCTAACACAGGCATTAAGGCAAATGCTGCAAGTTTATTAAATATAATATAATTGTATAAGCCACATTGATATGTGTAAGATTACACAACGTGAAGAATTAGAGGTGTATTTTGAAGCAGAAAATTATCACATACTTGGTTTTTTTCCCACAACTGAGACACAAAAATGAGAAGTCATGAGTCAGATTGTTGGGTTGTGAGTGGGTGTGATGTGGTGGGGTGTTGTGTGTGTTGTTGGTGGTGTTGTGGGGTTTTGTTTTGTTTTCTTTTCTTTTCTTTTCTTTTTTTTTTTTTTTTTGGTTGGATTTCAAAGTGATATATGGAGATTTAGTCAGTCTATTCCCATGGATTTAAATATGAGACTTGTGAGTAACAGTTGTCCTTCGGTGCTGCAGACCTAGGGGATTGGTCATTGCTGGTTGTAGTTTAAGACAATTTTAATTCTTTCTATAAATGTTTTTTTTTGTTGTGTTATTCTTCTTGCATTGCTCAAGAGCCGTTGACAGCCAACCTGTCTGTAGGGTGGTGTTTGAACTTGGTGTTACTGTGTACATTTCACACTTGCTTTGGATTTGGAATGTTTAATGTTTTGATAATTGACATAGTCCTTAGGTCTGTAGGCTGCTTTTGTCGCTTTGTACTGTCAACCTTTGGCCTCAACAACAGGCTCAGGCAGGGCTAGCAGGTAAAGCTGACAGTTTTTTCCCCTCTAAAGAGATTTTGTTGGGCTCATGATCATATTTTCTGCAACGTTCTTGCTCCTGGCATTCTGCTGTTTTGTCTTTGCAGTTTATTGTGTTTCTGAGTCACTGGGAAAAGGCAGCAAGGCAGTCTGGTCACAGTGCTCGCAACATGGTGATGTTCTGCTCCGTGTCACTCCTTGATCCAGTCTTTAGATGTAGGCATCCCCTTGCTTGTCCTTCGTCTTGAAGTGCCTATTTGGTTCCTGCTCAACAGGCAGCTGGAGGAGGTATGACAGGCCTCTCTTTGATAAGCTTTAGGGAGTACTCAGGAGGAAAAGGAGTAGCAGAGCCACCTTATTGAGTTGGCTTTGTTGTCCATTTTTTGATAGAAAATTGAAGATTTAAAGGATTCTTTTGGCTGCTTTTCAGGGGCAGTGTTAGGAAAGTGATATTTCTTCCTAGTCTCTGGTGCAGCAAGTAAAAGTATCCCTTGATGCTGATTGTGCAGCTTATATCACGGGCTTCATACATTGGGTGTATTAGTTACTTTCAGGCAGGGTAGTAAAGTAACATTACAGTTTGATCCAGGGATTTACCTAAAGATCTCTAGATATTTCTTGTCAGTTCTTTATTATAATTCAGTTGCTCAAGATAACAGCCTCTGTAGACTGAATCAGCTTTAATTAATATTTAGGTGTATCTTACAGCCCTGGTATACTGAAGGATACCTTGTTTCCATCTCCAGCTGCTTATAGAATTATGACTGTGGGGAGCTTGTAGTGGGAAACTTAATAAGCTTTCTCTTCTTTCCTTTGGCCAACCCAAACGTCTGACTTTGAAAGCAAATTTTTGTCTAGGGTTATCAATAATTACTGCAAAACTTAGGGAGAAAGCTGGAGGAGGCTTCAAAAGCACTAAAAAAATCTCCAGTGGGCAGTTGCAGAAAGGCCCAGGTGATTTGAGAATATGACTGTTGTTTGCTCTAGTAATAATTTGACCTAGTAATTATTAATCAAGCAAGCTGAAGAGCTTTTAGATTATCAAACAGGATTCTAACTAAACATTGCACCTGGTTATAGACTACCATCCACTATAGCCCACTACTCTTTCAGCTTTGTCATCTCTATCTCTTTTGTTGTAGGTATGAAGAATATTGGAAGTTGTGCATTCCTCAGGTGGAACATCTATAACATTTCTTATATAACTTGCATAGTTCAAGATTCTTTCTTTAATGATAGCACATTATAAAAGCAAAACAAAACATGAGATAATTTATATTTGGAGCGCTGCCTGGGATAGGTGCCTGTATAGTGATTCCTTCCTCTTTCTGCTTGTCGCTTCATGAGTCATTATTCTCTGCCCACTAACGGACCGATCTGTCTCTTTGTCAGTACCCCAGGCCATCTGCTTCAGGGAGGACCAAAACAGCAAGCACAGAAGGGATCTTCTTCCCCACATCCCCGGGCCCCAGGCTCATGAAATCAGCTAGAAAAATTAACCTGCCTCCTGGCTGGTGCACCCAGACTGATGACTAGCTCTGCTGTAACTAAAATGGGACTCTGGGACCTGTTACGTGTGTGTTTGTGTGCACAGAGATTTGTGTGGGTGAACCTAAAGATAGCTGAAAGAAGACAAATAGGAAGAGCTTGCAGCATAGCCCAGGAGGCCACTGTGTCCTGCGCTTGACATACAATTCCTGTTGTTCTCTTAGGTGTTTTGGAATCATTTTGTTTGCACTAGATCTAGGATATATTTCACATGAATCAGACTTTCAACATGACATTTTTGAAAGCTTTCCCAGTACAAGCAAAGTGACAACACTATGATTATGCTTTATGTTATGACCTGAGACAGTCATGTCAGAAACCTCACAGGTTGCTTTGTCTTTGATGGTGATTGGTGATGATTTTGACTCTTTCAAATACATATTTTCAAAACTATTTCAACTGAAGTTTTACTTGCAATTTACGAGATTCTCTGAAGACCTCACTTCCAGCATCCTGAAGACTGAAAGTGAAATATTTTTGTTTTCCTGAAAATCTAGTAAATATCAGTATATAGAATGATCAGATAACATCTACCTCCTTATATTGCTCTCTGCCAGTGTCTACTTGCTAGTATCACCTTTATATCTTTTCATACTAAAACCTTATTTCAGGAAAAAGGAAAAGCAATAGAGGTTTTTTCAAGAGAAGATTCACTGCTGATCTGATGTTCAGGAGAATGTGCAGCCTGCATATTTAATTCTAACGACTGTGTCAATCCTTGACCTTTACTGCTGTTGGTCTTGTTGCTGACTAATTTAAAATATTTCTCTAATTAGATTTCTCCTCTCTTAATTTCTTTTCTTAAAAGGAACTGAGATGTTCTTGTTCAGTAAACATCTTTAACCATGTAAAAAATTATATTGTCATTTATTCTCATTTAAATCACTGCACTATTTTCCTTTGTTGATACTGCATTTAATATTTATGAAAACTAAGAGAAGAAAAACCCTGTCATCTTCTCAAGATGTTTATTCTTTGTCAATTACTGAGTGTGCTGGTTTATAGCTTTTCTTCCAGAATCAAGAAGAAAACAGCTACTTAAGTATATTTTATTCTTAGTGCAAATCAGATCTTTGACTTAGTTGACTGTGTTAATATATTGTATTAGAGCTGCAAGAGGCCAAGTTTAAAAATGGACATCTGTGAATCCTGCCTTGGAAAAGTCTACATTTACTATGCAGAGTTTTGCAAATACACAGACTTTTCACTACATTGTTTCAGGAAAAGTTTATCCTGTTTCTGTTGATTCTTTAATATATATTTTAATATAATACTGTTCTTAACATCAGCGGTATTTGTTTGTTAAAGAAAAGATAGAAATGGTACCTGTGCTGGCAGAACTCTCAGCTCATTGTGGATAATGGACTGGGCATGACAGTCTTGACTGCACATATAGGAAGGGGCTGAGCAAACAGTGGTAGTTGTTACTCACATGAGGCACAGCATGAGTCTGCAGTTGTTCCTGCTCACTCAGTGCTTTGTCTGAGCAGGGATTTGAAGCACATGCTTGATTGTGAAAAAAATTTTCTGCAGAGCACTTTTCAGTTTGGCTTTGTATAAAAAATGTTGAAGTTTGACTTCAGGTACTGCAGAGTTGAGTATTTGTATTATAATGTGTTTTGACTTCATAAAAATTGAGAAACCGTTTGGGCAATGACCAGGTGTTACAAATCACTGAAATAATCACTGAGACCTGTCTTAAGCAAGATACACTCTTTTTATGAGTTGATTTTCCCTTCTTAGTAGTCATTTTTATTTCATATTCCATAATACAGAACTCAATGCAGGATAGCTTCCTGCCAACTTCCCTGTGTCAGCTTTACCCAAGCTGTACTTGATATTTGGTATTCTTGCTATGTATTCAAAATATTAGAATATTTTCCTGAGCACCGGATGTTCTAACATGTAGCATGAGTGTGGATAATGGTGGTACTATCCAGGAGTAGGATGAGAGTCACTAAAATAGAGTGTTGTTGAGCAGCTTAGCACGTACTGCTCTGTCTGTAGCTTGAAGAAAACCAATGGGGCTAAAAAGCCTGCAAAAATACATGGAGCTGAGATAAAAGGGTAGTCAGCAAAGGGAAAAACCCCATTTCTTAAATGGTCTAGGAAGAAAAGAGGAGAATATACAGTTTGGAGATACACCCCAAAACTCTTCTTTTCAAACCTTTGCTCCGTCTGCATTAGTTGAAAGCTTGCTACTAGTTTGCTGTTCATAACCTAAGGTCCGCTGAAGATGTACGTCTTGCGGTACTCCTCTGGGATTTTAAGCTTAAACTTTGATTCGTCCCTTAAGCCATGGATCTTTCTCTAGTGTTTTGAACAAAATTACTGGCAGATGTTACTCTTTTCAGACAAGCTCTGACCACCACTTCACTTAACTTATCGTAACTGTAACCATGCTTCCTAAACTTCTTCTTGACTTGATTACTGCAGCACTTCATAACTGATCACCCAGTAAATTCAGCTGAAGTTTCAGACATTACAAAAAAACCCAAAGAACTGCCCAGTTATTGGCCAAAAAGGTACTAGTTCTTCAATGTAGATTCATTTTGTTTCCCTTTGCAGTTCAAAGCGATGGCATTACACACTTGGAATCTCTAGTGAAACTCCATAGAAAATATTTACATTATTCAATGTAAATCTTCAACTCTCTGTCTAAATGTAAAGGGTTTAGGGATTTCAGTGCTTTAATTGCAGAAACAATTCTTCTTCTGCAGAAAGTAAATACTTTTTTTTCCTCAAAAATCTTGTTAAAGTATAATTTTTCAGGGGGGAACTTTCAAGCAGCCCTAATGCCAAGATTCAGAAGAATGGAAATTCAAAGCTTTGGTATTCATTTCTTCCATTGGCACGTCAGAGCTTGGAAAGTGCTGGCTTACACCTAGTAGTCGCTAACGCACCCTTAGGGCAGAAGAGCTGCTCTGTCATCAGGCCGTGCTTTTAATTCACTAGTATTGCACAGGGAGAATTAGACTGCAAGTAGGGCAGATTGATTTCTCGGAGTCTGAAGCATAAAAGTTTCTGCATTTAGATTGGTTGGTGTGCTGGGGGGGGTTGATACTCAACATCCTTGGTCACCATCTGCGAAATACAGGGGTGTATTGGCTCAGCACTGGTTGAAACTATAACCTGTTATTTATGAATGTAGATGCAGGGGTTTCGTTCAATTTTCACTGCTTTTTGACAAATCTCTAGTTAATCACATGGAGAAGCTGTTTATTAGAAAGAAAGGCATTTGCTAATAAAAATATGGCCTTATGGCCTTTGTCTATAAAAATATAGCCCCTTTCAGTGTAAAGATCTTTTTCTGTTATTGTCAACGCTGCATGGTGAAAAATCAGTCTCTTTACCTCCCTGGACGAATAAATACATAGACTGGGAGTAATAGGATAGGATTGTCTAATTTGTCTGTTCTTTTAGGGGCTTTTCAGGTTCATGTAAAATGTAATTTTGCTGTATGGTCTAATTCTTTTTCTACATCCCTAGAAAAGGTTGTGATGACTTTATCTAGCACTCTACTTCCTTATGTCTTTACCAACCAAAAAAAAAAAAAAGTAAATACACATAGTCTGTTCAAACAAAATGTAGAGATTTTATTTACCAATTAGTGGGAGATCTCCATCAGTCTTATACTTTCTTCCTTTCTAATTTTCAGATGTATATCACGAACACAGTAAAAGCCAGAGGAACAAGGCTTGCAAAACCTGTTCTGTGTTTGGGCTTAATGTGCTTGGCTTTCCTTACTGGAATCAACAGAGTAGCAGAGTATCGAAATCACTGGTCAGATGTAATAGCAGGATTTATAATTGGAATATCTATAGCAGTATTTTTGGTAAGTGGATATGTATGTCACTTCTGTTTGAAAAAATCAGTGTATAATTTTGTATCTCTTAAAACAATATAAGTAGCCTTGACTTTTCAGACAATTGAATGACAAAAGAGGTGTTTCTAATTTTTGTTTTTAATTAACTATCAGTCTTCTTAGTTATATTTACATACACTCAGAAATGTGAAGCCAAGAAAGGACTGATCAAATGATCCATTTTGACTTCCTCATAAACCAGATTGTAGCATTTCAAGCAAGATTTTTTGTGTCAAGCCTCACTTTAAGCAAGTGTATATCATTCAGAATAACATCTACTTATGATTTCATGTATAAAGTTTTAAATTGAGTATAATTATATCTACACTGATCAGAGAATAAGTCGCATTTCTTTTCGAGCTTTAACTCTACAGGTCTTTCAGGTCTACATTGAAATTTTATGTTTTTCTGTATCAAAAAGAAAATCCATGTTTAGCCTTTTCTTTTTCTGGAACTGTGTTCCAAAACTGGTTAGTCACAATTCACAATGACTAGTGTCTGTGTCAGAAAGCTGCTGCTAATCTATTAATAATCACCTTCACTGATAACTTCAGTGCAAGACTATGGCATAGAATAGTCACTGCTGTTTGCTGCCTGCAAGTTTGTCTGCCTGGCAGCTTGTAATAGTACTTAATACATCTTTGAATTTTTTCCCCATGGAAACACTTTTGAGCTTGATTCTTGGATCTCAAGGTCTTGATCTTAAGATCTTGGATCTGAAGACTTGGCTTGGCTGAGAACTCTCGCAGGGGTGGCTGGGGTGGGTGTTTTCACTCCTCTGAGAAATGTGAGTGCAGCTTTAAGGTCTCCTTTAAATATACCTGCTCGCACTTCCAAACATTCCCTTCCATAAAAGGTGTCCAGGAGTTTTATTTGGTGGTTTGTTTTTAAGAAGTGTTTCTACTCTGTGCCCCTGAAGTCATAAAAGAGAACAGACTAGGAACCTGTCCCAACATTTTTGTGATGTATTATTAATTGTGATGCATAAACTCCTTTGAGTAGCACAACATGAAGTTTAGTTGTGTTTTGAAGAAAATACAATGGATAAACATTGCTGCTGTGCTGAGTGTATTAATTAGTAGAAACACTAACGGACTCATATGTATCACATTCCTAATTCCCTGTGTGAGAGTCACTGCTGCCCTGAGCAAGTTCAGAGTTTAGTTCAGACCTGGGGATGATCCTTGCTGCCTTATTCTGCCTTTATCACTCTCCGTTTGAGAGAGTCTTGGCTAGTCAAAACTTACATGGTACTAGCCCTTCATAGGACTTTAAAGTTACTGCCATACTCTGCTGCACGTGGTCTGGACATCTATTTATGACATTGCTAATAACTGGTGTTCTATTATTCAGCTTTGGTAATGGATTTGCTTTTAGATAAGAGGGTTTTTTGGTTCTCAGATGATGTGTATAACAATGAATTGTTTGAAAGTCTTTTGTCTTGAAATATTAATAAAGGATTTTCTGTAAAACATGAACTTCACATTTCTGTGTTTCTACTGTAAGCTGTCACTAAAGCTGGTGTCAGTTCTGCCTAATTATGGATGCCAGGATCAAATCTCAAAAAACCAAGTTGTTCCTTAGCTATTCTATTTATCTTCTGATCCCTTCTAGGTTGTTTGTGTGGTAAATAACTTCAGAGGACGTCAGCCAGAACATGAGCATTCTCATATGGAAAATCTGGCCCAGATGCCTATGATCAGCATACCCCGAGTAGAAAGCCCTTTAGAAAAGGTAATGTCTGACTTTTTTTAAAAACAATTAAATAAAACGTAGCTTTCTTGGAAGGCTGATCCCAGACTATCTTGACAACAGTGCCAAAGTAATCGGATTTAAAGTAAGGAGGCATGGTAGCTAAGGAAAAAGAAGGGAATAATTAGTTCAGAGACACTCCTTGGGAGACTTTTCATGCCACCTCCAAGAACAATGGCTACATATCAGTCCAGTTTACTGCTGTAGCCACTGCTAAATCCATGATGTCATGCTGAGCAGATCTGAGGCCCTCTTTCCTTGGGTTACTCAAATAAGTTTAAATAATGCTTTGAGAGTCTACAGAGCTTGAAGTGCTTAGAAGGAAAGTCTAACTCCTGAGCCCAAGGGGTTATGCAGTTCAGGTGTGAGTGGCAGAATAATGTGGAGCAGCTGTGGGGCTTTTCTCATCAGGTGCATGCTAGCTCCAGGACAGAGCACCCACTTGAAAATGCTGGGGATCTGACATTTGTGTTAGCAGGGCTAACATGAGCTAACATTAAGCTAACAGCTTAATGAATGTGATAATATTAATGAGTACCATGGGTCATACAGTAACTGCATGAAAGCCATCATCTCTTGCCAAAGAAAGTGAGACTTTGGACTAGGACACGCTAGCGATAATCTCCTCGGTATGCCAAGGCTTTTTGCATGAGTAAGTATCGTAATGTGTTTAAAATTTATTTTAGTTTCCTGTAATAAAAAACTGTGGTTTTTGAAGATGATATTGTACTGTGTAAGTGTTAGGTAAGATTATGTCTGAGCAAATTTATGAGCAAAGAAGCACTGAAATAGCCAGATAAAGAAAACATTTTAGGCATTTTTACCAGGGGGAATGTTTGAACTGGTAATACAAAGTTTGAAAGCAAATCTATTTTTTCTAATGAGTTTATCTGTCATTATTTGATAAAATACCTTGTGTTACGCCCATGTTTGAAGATAGTAAACAATTCTACACTGGGTAGGGCACCAAAAGTATGTTTCTATGGCATTCTTTTAAATCCAAATTACTGCTGATACTTTTTTTTTTCATATTAAACATAAGAAGAGATGTTTTTAACCACTTCCCAATCTTAGTCATTTGGAAGTTGTCCTTTGGTAAGAATTGCTGCTAGCGCCCTGCATTTGTTATTCCTTTCCTTGAAGGGAAAGAAGATTTCTTTTCGGAATTATCTAACACACCTTTTTTGAACTGAGTGTTTCTAAGGTACTTCTGCTGATATCTTGTCATAAGGAGGTCAGAGTCTCATTTGCTTGAACAAGCATTTTGATGATGAATGTGTATCTTCAAAATAATCCATTCAGTAAGCTTTCTGTAAAATGTCAAAACAAAACAAGATGTCAGTTGGCTGAGGGCATATCACATTAACAAGAGCATATCTTATTTACGCGCCAGGCTCTCCTGCAATGGAAGCCATCTCTGTGGCTCAAAAGCCATTATAGGTAATAAATGGACGTTCTCTGGCTGTTGAAATTTTTATTTTATTTTCTGAGGATAAAGACTTCATGTTAACTTGGTGTCAAAACAGGTAGAAACACTCTCTTGCTCATGACAAACCATGTTCTTTTCCTGAGACTTGGGCTAGGCAAGATTGAGATATAGTGCGGAAAGCTATGGGAGAGTGTGGAAGGGTGATGGCAGGAATAACGTTTGCTCTGCATGAGGATGACCTCCACTATTTATGAACTGCCCAGAACTCTATTATATGAAAGAGCTTCTTTCCATCTGAACTGATATTCCTATGGGAGTAGAGGTTAGCTGTTTGCTGTCATGGAACTTCTCTCTAGATAATTAGATCCAGGCTTGTCTGCAGGGTGTTACACTTGGTGAGATCTTGGCGTATGGATTTATCTTTGTCTATTTTGCAAAGTCTTTCTCCTGTCCAGACAAAGAGGATGAGATGGGAGGATGATAATGTGAGGACTTTGCTCTTTGTTGGGAAATGCTTTCTTCTGTTTCTGCTCTCAGAAATTTTAAATTTGAATTAGCAAATAATTGATGAAGAGTTACTTACTTGTGAGTACTAGCATGTAGGTGTTGAGGTTTTATGGGGTTTTTAGTTGGTTTTTTTTTAATGTTTATTCTTATGTTTTAGGTAGAAGCCAGACCCTGTTAAATGAAAGGCACTAAGAATAATAGTTACATGGAACTGAGGTCTAAATTGAGCCATCTCAATTAACTACCATCACTACAAGAATTATTAACTTGGTCCTTGCTTTTTGGTTTTTAACTCTCTTCTTATTTTACATCCTTCGTTCTCCTCTGGAGAGGGAGGGGTGCTAAATAATTTGTGTGCTACTTGTCTTTGCCTGCTTTAGCCTTGTGCAAGTTGCTTTTCACTACATTTCAGTTGTGGCTGTCCCAGTTCCAGATTCTGAATGCATATGCATTTACATTTGGCTTATTTTAAATAAGTTTTTCCTTAGTCTGAAAGCTCCTGTGTCAGTATTAAAGACAGCTTACTGTCAGAAATTAGCTGCTAAGAGTAGCACAAATCCTGATGGACTGAAGTTACCGTGAGCTAAGGCAGTGCTAGCATGAAGCAATACAATTCTGTTATTGATATTTAAAAATCATAGCTATATAGGTATCTGGGAGTGAGCAATTCAAAGATCCTGTTTTAAAGAATGACTTCATTAGAAATGACCACCAGATGGTACCTCACTCACTTAATTTTGTTATAAATTAACCTGTAAATGAATAAGCACATGGTACATCACACAAACCTGGAAGCACCTTATTTTTGTGCTTCCAGATCTGCTACTTGCTATTCCAGTGCTTTTTCCTGCTGGACAATGAATGTTCTTGGCATGCTCTCCGTGCTGCCACTGTCTGAGTTGTGGTGGAGGTCAAGAGCTACATTTGAAGTGCACTTAAATAGGAATATGTGTACTTGTAATATTCTGAATTGAGCTGCTGCTGGTTAATGACAAGGGTAGATCACTGTTTGCATGGCACTTCTATTTAATTGTGATGCATGCAGATGATTAAGCTGTTCTTCATGGGTACCCACTTGTCATGCACTCAAATAAGCCATAGTTGCAGAGTGTCTCCTTGAAGAATCCTTGCCAGAGCTGGCTCAGCAATTCAGACTTATTGCTTTCACCTTAACTACATCCATCCTCAGAATTAATAAAAAGAGTGAAAGCCAAGAAACCTCATCACTCACCCATCTGCTCCTTTTTCTCTCCTGTCTCTGACCTTCTTCATCTCTTACAAGACAATTTGTGTTTCAGTTAGCTGGCACTCTCCTATAGAGAAGAGGTTCTCTTCACAGTCAAGGTTAGAGACTCCTGTTATTTTGCAAGAGTTACTGGGAAATAGGGATTTTCTGAGTGGTACCTGGAAGAGTTTAAAGTTCAGTTTCATCCAGTGCAGTCACAGGCTGTTTTTTCTTTTTCAGGGGAAACTGACATTATTTCATGCTAAAGTCATCTGAAATTGGCCAGGGCTTACGAGGGCTCATAGACATCTTGTTGTATCTGCTGACTCTCCTAGCTTTTTTTTATATGTATTTTTTTTTTAAATAAGTATTCTAGCTTTGAAAAAAGATCAAATGCAAAGGGAACACAGAGCATTTTAGGGCTAAGGGAGGCAGTAGATAGAATACTGAGGTAAGACATTTTAGGAGGAAGTGTTGGGTTAGGAGAGACACTATGGTTCATCTCCTGTGGGATGAGACAATTACTGTGTCTGATCATCAGTGCTTTTGGTAGCTGTTCAATATTACTTATTTGCACAGTCTGTTCTTTGCAGTGCTCTGTTTGACAGCTAAGCTCCATTTATCCTCAAAGTCTTTGCTTGGCGTTCCTTCACAGTGCTACTTCTGTCAGCAATGCCCAAACCATGTTCCCACCTTCGCTTGTTACAATGAGGTTACTTATACTCCATCCATAGGACTGACCCTCCATCATGACTGTGAACTAGAAACAGATAGTTTAGAATCTCTCTCTCTCTCTCTCTCTGGCACAGGCATTTCTAAGTTTTAATGGTGATAAGTATTTGGAATTCCTCTTAAAATTGAGGAAATGTGATGTTCTTGTTGCCTATCATACCAATTGCTAGTCACTATCAGGGTTAATGGTCTCAAAAATCTTGTTGTTTGATACTATAATTCTTGGTCTATGGTTTATGTGCCAAAGGTGATGGTGGTGATGATTCATTTTAACAAAAGTGCGTATAGATATTGCAATGGGTTCTGATAATATTATAGAACTGAGGAAGCTTTTCCCGTCTGTTTTTGAGGTATAATGTTTTTTCTATTGACTCCATCTTGACTATTTACAAGACAGAACAGCTTATTCACAGTGTTAGAAAAAGATATTTTTCCTTTTAATTCTCAATGTTACTGCTTTTTACTTGGTCTTAAGCATTTTTTTACTAAGAAGTCTTTCATTGGCATGTGCACTTGTGTACGCACGGCGTGGCTGAGGGAGTCCGCTCTGGTTGCTGGGGCTCTCCAGGGAGACTGATCGCCCATTGCTGAGCTCACAGGCTAAGGGCAGAACACAAAGATGGTTTAGGTCATCCAGCTGTGGGCAAGTGTGGGAGAGAGTTTGTGTCTATTTCTGTTGCTCGAAAGTATTTTAGTTGAGAAGTATCCAAATACTGTTGTTCTTGATGTCAGAAAGTGTACATAGGTATCCATAACAGTGTTTTAATATATGTGTGTGTATCTCCAGGATGGCTTGACCGTGTGCTTACGTTAGTTTATAAACAGGTGGTTTTCAGGTTTCTGTTGTCACAGTGGTTCTCTCTTGATAATACAGTATGATAAAGGAGGTACAATACATCATTGTTTCACACACAGAAATACATATCCAGGAGAGGCAGCTCATAAAAGACCATAAGCAATTTTGTTGCAATGTCAAGTATTTGCATTCATGTCCTCCTCTTTTGCTTAAATCTATTTCTGGGGCACGGTACAGGAATTATTTCTGTTTGAATGCAAACTGTGATCACCAAATCTGATGTTCAAATAAAA